CACAGGTCGATGCACAGTCTCCTCACTTATACTACTCTCTGCTATTCCACAGTCAACCGGATCACCACCTTGACCAGCTCAGGAGTGTTGCTTTTCCTCGCAGCCCAACCTCATCACTTCATGGACAAAACCCCTTCACAAATGCTGGTCTTCACCCGGTGATTTTCACTTCAGTCATTCACTCTTGTTTATTGTATATTGTGTTGCACCCCTGTTTCACCTTTGTAAATAAATCCACCTATTGCACCGAAGCCAGCCGCCTGGGTCTGTTCTTACTGCTCGCTCATTATTATATCGAGCGATCCTTACAAAAGTTGATTCTTTCTCGAGTGAGATTTCACAATTTAACCACTAATTCCTCTCATCCACACCTTTTACCATACAAACAACCCACTCCTTCACTGCCACTAGTTTTTTCTGCTGTGGTCACCTTTCCTTGTGTTTCTGTTTTCCTGAAACAGGATGCAGACATGGAAAAACAGATTTGTGCTTGAGGAAAACTGCATGAAAACTGACTGACTGTGCTAGCACTGCCATTGCACCTACAGGAAAATGGAAAGTCATGACTGATAAATTCACTTCCATGTATATTTCTGAAGGAAAACAACTTAAGTTGGCCTACTGTTTTATTAAGGTATGACTTAACACTTCCATAATAACAGGAATGCAAAATTTTAGCAAAAAAGAAAAGAGGGAGAGAGAAGATATATACGTAAGAAAACTGTGCTCTGTCTCAACACTAGGGGTTAATAACATTTTCAGCAAGTTGCACATGTGTAACTGTTGTTGAACAGATTTAAATAGGATAAAAACCAGTATGGGAAACTGGGAGAGAAAGGATTCTTTCAAATTTAGGCTGAAAAATAAAACATACAGTGCCTTGCGAAAGTATTCGGCCCCCTTGAACTTTGCGACCTTTTGCCACATTTCAGGCTTCAAACATAAAGATATAAAACTGTAATTTTTTGTGAAGAATCAACAACAAGTGGGACACAATCATGAAGTGGAACGAAATTTATTGGATATTTCAAACGTTTTTAACAAATAAAAAACTGAAAAATTGGCCGTGCAAAATTATTCAGCCCCCTTAAGTTAATACTTTGTAGCGCCACCTTTTGCTGCGATTACAGCTGTAAGTCACTTGGGGTATGTCTCTATCAGTTTTGCACATCAAGAGACTGAAATTTTTGCCCATTCCGCCTTGCAAAACAGCTCGAGCTCAGTGAGGTTGGATAGAGAGCGTTTGTGAACAGCAGTTTTCAGTTCTTTCCACAGATTCTCGATTGGATTCAGGTCTGGACTTTGACTTGGCCATTCTAACACCTGGATATGTTTATTTGTGAACCATTCCATTGTAGATTTTGCTTTATGTTTTGGATCATTGTCTTGTTGGAAGACAAATCTCCGTCCCAGTCTCAGGTCTTTTGCAGACTCCATCAGGTTTCCTTCCAGAATGGTCCTGTATTTGGCTCCATCCATCTTCCCATCAATTTGAACCATCTTCCCTGTCCCTGCTGAAGAAAAGCAGGCCCAAACCATGATGCTGCCACCACCATGTTTGACAGTGGGGATAGTGTGTTCAGGGTGATGAGCTGTGTTGCTTTTACGCCAAACATAACATTTTGCATTGTTGCCAAAAAGTTCGATTTTGGTTTCATCTGACCAGAGCACCTTCTTCCACATGTTTGGTGTGTCTCCCAGGTGGCTTGTGGCAAACTTTAAACGACACTTTTTATGGATATCTTTAAGAAATGGCTTTCTTCTTGCCACTCTTCCATAAAGGCCAGATTTGTGCAGTATACGACTGACTGTTGTCCTATGGACAGAGTCTCCCACCTCAGCTGTAGATCTCTGCAGTTCATCCAGAGTGATCATGGGCCTCTTGGCTGCATCTCTGATCAGTCTTCTCCTTGTATGAGCTGAAAGTTTAGAGGGACAGCCAGGTCTTGGTAGATTTGCAGGGGTCTGATACTCCTTCCATTTCAATATTATCGCTTGCACAGTGCTCCTTGGGATGTTTAAAGCTTGGGAAATCTTTTTGTATCCAAATCCGGCTTTAAACTTCTCCACAACAGTATCTCAGACCTGCCTGGTGTGTTCCTTGTTCTTCATGATGCTCTCTGCGCTTTAAACGGACCTCTGAGACTATCACAGTGCAGGTGCATTTATACGGAGACTTGATTACACACAGGTGGATTCTATTTATCATCATTAGTCATTTAGGTCAACATTGGATCATTCAGAGATCCTCACTGAACTTCTGGAGAGAGTTTGCTGCACTGAAAGTAAAGGGGCTGAATAATTTTTCACGCCCAATTTTTCAGTTTTTTATTTGTTAAAAAAGTTTGACATATCCAATAAATTTCGTTCCACTTCATGATTGTGTCCCACTTGTTGTTGATTCTTCACAACAAATTACAGTTTTATATCTTTATGTTTGAAGCCTGAAATGTGGCAAAAGGTCGCAAAGTTCAAGGGGGCCGAATACTTTCGCAAGGCACTGTACCTTTTAGGCATTAGGCTTTTTACTTATCTGGAAAATAATAAAATATTTATTTCATGATTAATACAGTCCTTAGTGACAGCGTGCACTGCAAAGTAGGTCACTTAAATGACTTATGATTTCAGGATTTCAATTAACTCTCTATACTATCTCTTAGATATCAACACAGTTTGTTAGCACTCTGTACTTGTTGTAAGAGCCATGTACAGATAGTCTGCCTCTCTCCACATGGGTAAAAACATGTTAGACTTAAAAATTATCATTTGAGTTAAATTTGATACCAAAATCAGCTAAATTAAAAATAAATATTGATGCTAAATTAAAACTCTGTTCAGTGCATCTGGTTCCCTGGTCTGGCAACTTAAGATAATGTCTCACTCTTGAGAGCTGCCCCTGGGCCTGTAAGTTGCAATCGAGCTGAGCATCCTGTGTTGAACCAAACAGTGTAACATTACCAACTGTATTATTATTATCTTTTGTTCATCTCCATGTTTATCACATGCCTTTGATAACCTCCCATATAAATCACTGACTGCTCTACTTTAGCTATGCATTCAGTATCATAACATTACCTCTTTAGTGCTGTCACAGTGCAGCTCTGGTCTGATGACATGCTGGTTATAGCTGTACTAATAATTGTTTAAGGTCCCATAATGCAACAGCAGACACTTGATTTGATTTGATTTATTCTTTCAAGCATGTAAAGACAGTTGATATGTCAACACACATAATTTTACACATATCCAACAAATGCTAATCCAATATCAATTTGCTTATACCTAGTACATGCTTGAATGGAGTAGGAAGAAGTCAGACTTATCCAGTCCTACCCCATGAATACAGCAGACAAGAAGGATCTAATGGTACTTACTGATCTCTGGTCAGGTTCAGGTGATGAGCCCTTCTCTGCAATTCTTCTCCTGTAAGACAGAGTCCAGAATTATTTCTGAAAAACAGTTGCTATTTTTAAAAACATATCATCATGTTTAATGTTAATATCATAAAGCACAGACCACACAATTCCTCCTGAACTCCACATTTTTAAAACCTAAATTCCTTAGATTTCTCTAGATCTTACAGTGATACTTCTCTGTCAGCAACAAAGTGCATTTAAATTACGATTTTACTACATATCATCTCATAATACTGAGGAATAGTGAGAGTGATGAGTACATGAACTTATTCTTCAGGTGGCACAACAAAATCCATTGCGACCAACATTGGGGTTTGCTAAATCTACTGTATGGCAACTGTGTCAAGTTTCACTTTTCTGTAGTATATGAAACAAGATCTGAAATTCATTCATATGACTCAAGTGCCTATTTTGAGACGTACTGAATCGAAGAGTAATATATGATGTGTCGCTACCTCCTTGCTAACAGGGCACTCATCTCCTCCATGAGCCCTCCTCCTCCAGGCAGAGGGCCGTTGCCTCTGGCTTCAGATTTGGCCCCTCCAGCCCCTGGCATGGCTGCTGCCAGAGCGGCCGCCGCCT